GCTGAAGAGCGAATCTCTCTCTCTCTCTCTCTCTCTCTCTCTCTCTCTCTTTCTTTCTCGGCATTTATCTTCGATGAGATTAAGGACTCGTCGTCATTCAACTTGATGTAGGGCGGCCGCTATACTTGGCAACAATTGCTATAGTATATTGGATCGATGCTAACGTGAATTATGGCTCTTATCGTTGATTATCTCCCTTCTATGTCGGCCAACTCGTTAGGCACGAAAGGGTTAAGAGCAATTGACTTTGAGACACTTGGCTTTGAAATCTGAGATCTGCCATGCGTATTTGTCGTGTTAGGTGTTTCCAGAAAATTTATGCGAAAATGTCAGTTGCGAACATATAGCACGATGAAGAAGATATCAGAAGGGATAACTTGAAAGAAACTTCAAGCCTTTGTCCCTCCCACTCTTATCTGCAAAATAAAAATATTCGCTAAAACGTAAAGTCTTAACTTTAAGTCACATTGTATTTTTTCCTGTACATTTTTAAATTGCAAAATGGTGTTAGCTGTTTTAATTTGATGTCTTTTAATGTATGAATCATTAATTATTATTAACTGAAATTTGCATTAGTAAAAAGGAGGATTATCAAGTTTTGCGTGAATTCGTGTTTTTGAACGATCGTACGTTAGGTAATTTTGATATACTAATGTTATCAATAATGATGTCAAGATTGATAAACATAGGTAGGATATTTCTACATATATAGTCGTGTACGAAAATACATAAATCTCACAAAATTTAGGTCTAGGATAAAGATAAGGCTGGCGAAAAGTGCCAGGTTAAGTTGTACTGTCTATATATACGACATAAACGCAAGTAGAAATCATCATGATTTTTTTCATCGCAACGTGTCTTTCAAATATCACTCGAGAAACTCGGTGAACTTCGAACTTTTCCTAGGAATATATTCTAATGGAATAATACACTTCGATGTGACATTTGTTGCCAGCTTGTATGACTACTTCCGTATGTAACATTATTTCCAAGTAAATTTATTATGTGATATTCTATCTTTTACGAAAGAGAGTTCTTTCGAATGAATTTTAGATCGTTTAATAATTACGGCTATTGAATTATCAGTCGTTCAGAATCAATCTTGATTTGATATTGTGATTAAATTGTGCAGAGCATACTTTGACTTTTTCTATTAGAGACATCATCTATTCTAATTTATCATTTAGATATATCTAGTAAACTTGGACTTTTCTTCTGTAGAAAACTATTATTGAAATTATTTTTAACAGGATTTTATTTTTACTTTGCCGAATCTTTACCACACAGTGCTATAAAGTTTTTTTAAGTCGATAGATATATATTTTTAGATTTTTTAGATTTTTAGTGCTCGCATGCTAAAACTTTAAGCTTTTGTTTTCGAACTGTTTTCATATAAATTTGCTGGCATCTTGTTGTTTTCTTTTTTATATCTATTTTACAAAAATTCTTTATTTTGTCAATATTTTCTTGGTAACATTTAATTTTTTTCTTTATGTATGAAATGAAAAATTCTTTCTTTTATGAAATTAGTTTCAGTTGAATTTAATTGTATATTTAATTATTTAATCTTAAAGTAATATTTGTTGAAATAAAATTATTATTAGTGATGAGATATAAAATGCTAATTTTTTGTTTGACTCAGCGTTCTGTATCGAATTATGAATGAAATATTTGTTTGATGTACAATACGCAAGTGTTTACTTATGCATTCCCATTAGATTCAGAATTCATCTGCGAGAAAAAAAATGGATAGAACATATACATGAAGCATTTTTAAATATATCCATTTCTAACCGATTCTCGTGTATCCAGCGTGAATGACGAAAGGCAGTCGTCTGTTTGCGAAATCTGATAATCATTCTCGTATATCTCGTAATCCGAATGCAATAATACATTCAATGATGTAACAACAGACAGCATCGTAAACATGATTTTGTTTGCGCGTGTTCTTTACCAAAATAAATCTCTCTCTTTCACACTCAATCTCCCGCAACTTTTTATGTATTTTATTTTAAAATAATTTACAGCGAGGAAGAAAAATGTAAATTTAAGTATAATCATTTTTATTTTTAATAAGCCGCTTATATACTAACGTGTATAATATTCTTTAACATAGTGCGATTTCTTACCAAATCTATCGAAAACAATGGCTCGGTAAAAAGCGTATTTCTAAATTAAAAAAATATTTTTATTTTCAATTAAATCTACAACAAATGTCTGTAAGCGAAGATTCCGCATTGCGCGTTCTTCTTTCTAAGAAAGTTATAACTTTCAATAGACAATATCCGGGATTTATGTCGTGTAGATTGATCTCGATATCACTGCGCGTACTGATAAAGGCTTTTCCTTTATTTCTAGGTAAGTAAAGAAGAGCTCGCGAAATTAGTGCAGAGTTTCGAAGAGCAGGACATCCTGACGTCGTCGGGGGTTACCTTAGCCGGCAATAGGTACATCTACCTATCGGGCACGGACCGTGTGATAAGAGCAAAACTCGGCAAAGTCGGCGTTCACTGCATGAAGACGACGCAAGCCGTAGTTGTCTCCCTGTACGAGGACCCCATACAACCACAGCAAGCCGCATCTGTCGTTGAAAAACTGGGCGAATACCTCGTGTCCTGCGGCTATTAGGTCAGTATGACAACTTTCCCTCCAAGTAATCCAAGTAATCCAAGCGATCAACAACAGTTGAAATTTTATCGTGGAATTTTATCGTCGAAGCGAGCATTGCCTAAATTATAGCAGTTGGGAAATTTTTTGCCGCTAGTCTTGGAGGAGATAGATTTACTTTTACGCTCTATTATTTTTTAAAAATATTTATTAATTAGATTTGAGTTTCGCTTCAAGGATTCTTCGAAATCGGCATTTCTCGAAAATATTAAAAAAAAAAAAAAAATCTTAAAAGTTTAACGATCTTCTAAACCTGTAAAAAAATTCTCGTCAGAAGTTATTAAGTATCTGACACGTTTAAGATTATTAGAAATGAAATTGAATAAAAATACATATTCGTTCATAAGACAGAAATTTGAAATAATTGAAATAGTAATGAAGGAAACATTATTATACAAGGAAACATTTTCTCGAAACATTGAACAGATATTTTGTGCTTGCGATAGATTTTTCAAGAAAGACTTTTTTTTTTTTCAAGTAATCGAAACAGTTTTAGATTTTTACACATTTAAAATGATTCAATGTGTCTTGGTCCAGTCACCACCTGCGTGACGTATCGGATTAACGCGACGTTTATTCATGATTTCCCCTTCGCACGGTCGCTTCAATTTAACCGGCAAGCTTTCCTCCTCTCGCGTCGCACTACGGGCTTATCATTATCGGCTTGTCACTCAATACTCGTCCCGCGACATTCGCACACGCCCCTATTGTGCCCCGCTGTGCGTTTTCGCGCGCGTCCGTCACACCGCTTCTGCAATTGGAGAAAATGTCCTCCCTTCGTCGGATCGATGCCTCTAATATTGTCTACGTTCCTATATAATTGCAATTGATGATAATTCAAAAAATGCAGACATTCAGTATTTGTGAGCAGAATCGAAAAGAAATTATTCGAACGCTAAATTCAGGGCTTTTGAGATGAATCACGTCAATTTTAGCCGATTTTGAAATTTCTCATTTAAAAGTATTTAAACTTTCGATTTGAGCAGTATCGATAAATTAAGTCTGCCATAACGGGATATCTCACAATGTCATGATATTAATCTACTAAATAGCTTTAATTTTTTTAATTATTATAATTCTTTGATAATTTGTTAAATCTTTTTTAAAATATCAATTAATATATTGACTAAAAACTTAATGAAATTTTGATTTTTCATCAATATTTATCGTAATAATATTATATCGCAAGATAATTAAAACAATGATACTGATCATTTGTAAAATTTGTTGAGGAAAATGATATTCTTAAAAAAATTTATTGAGAAATAAAAAATGTTATTAAAGTTATTTCTTTGAGGATTTTATCTTTATTTTATAAAAAAATATTACAATGTTATATTTTTAATATTAAGGTATTTATAATTATATAAGTTTATTTTTTTAAATTTTTTAGATTTTAGTTTGAGATTTAACGAGTCACTTTCGAAATTTTTTATGATGACACGAGTAGGAAAAAATAGAGAAAATCAAATAATAAAATCAAATCTTAAATTTGTATTTTCCAATTTTGCCTGAAGAAAGTTTGAATATAATAATTGAAAAATTCGAAGAATTCCAGGGGAGAATTTTTTTCCAATGTTCGAGCGATTATCTCGCGGTGTGGAAACATCCGCGGGATGCTTTAATATATACATCACATTTATCGTAAATGAAATGGCGAAACTCGAGTTCTAACGGGTCTCTCCCCATAGACCGGAAAAATATAATGGCGCGAAACCGATTTTATCCGGTTGTTTCTCGCGATAAACTTGCGGCGGGATTCAACGTGTACATGCGGTCGCGGTATAAAGCGACCGCTTTGTCAGCACGGATATTGCTGCTCGCGCCGGTACTCTTGTATTACGAACTCGAATACAAATCGAATACAAGTCGCGGTTACGCGCATGCATATATGCATGCGCGCAATGATCGCTTGGGTACGCGTGCGAGTATATCGCGAGTATATCGCGAGTATATCGCGTTCCGACAATCGCATTGCAACTACCACGACGTGGGGTATATATCGCGAGAAACGAAGAAAACAGTAACCTAATAACGGAATAATGGCGAATCGCGTTCGCGTTACAATTCTTTTGTAAAAAAAAAGTCCTTTCGAGCTCCAAACTGTCGCTTTCAAGCTCCGACGTTAGACACGTTTCGTCAATATATAATCTTTGAAAAATTTAACGCTTGAAAATGTTGCTCCGCAAGTTAATTTACGTACGTGTCCCATTTGACCCGAGCGTTGTTAAATAACTTTGTTATTGTTCTAAATAATAGGAAAAGATTGAAACCACCAAGCACTTTTCTAAAGGGAACTTATTTAAAGCTTTATTTGAAACTTGTATAAAATTATATACAAAAGTTTATAGCAAATAACGATCTTTTTTGATCATCTAGTTATCTAAAATATCATTGGATGTATAATAAAAAAATATTATATATTTAAAAATAAATTTTCTTTCGCTCAAATTAATCTAATACTCTTTTTTTTTATCGATCAATGATAATAGAGTAAATATTCGATTAGTTAATTTAACTTTTATTTTAATATCTAATTATATTTACTATTTTTTGTTTCAACAAGTTTCGAGAATATATCAGCGGTTCGAATTTCACTACCAATTTCAGAGTTTGGAATACCTTTGAAAACTCGTTGTATCACGTCGCCAAGGTTATTTTTCCGAGAGAAAATAGAATGAACGATTTCAGTGTCGTGACGAAGTTCGGCGCTCGGTTTTCAGGCGACGCGACTCTGCGTGACTCACAAACGGATAATTCTCGACGAGCGTTTTAGCTTGATATCAGCTTGCGTCGATGACTAATCACGCTACACTTGCGCACTCGCCTCGGTCACAAGGTGGCATCACGATGATGATAAACATTTTTTTTATTTCCGAGAACGACCGACAGACAAGACGTCGCCTTTTCACAGATTTTCACGAATAATTCGTTCGCACGATATCTTTTGAATCTTAAATTTTGTACATTTACTTGTTTGTCCGACATCAGGTTGGAAATGAATGTACAAGTATGAGTAATTTTCCATTATTAATATAAAATATGACAATCTATAAATTTTTTATATATCGACGAGTCATCCGCAAAGAGAAGAAAATTGATTCTGGAAAACGCGCGACTGCTATCGTCGTTAGTTTCCATGTAGAAAATAAAGGAATTGATTGAGAATACTAATCTCTTTTGCTGAAAATAATTTTGTGCCGAGTCTCCGTTAATCTCTGTTATTACTTCTCTGTAATAACAAATTATCTTGCTTAAATAACGAAATATATTGTAGTAGTTTGCTTTAGTAGCAGATTAAATTTGCTTTGGCAGCAAATCCATATATAAAGTCCATTTATAAAGTCCATAAACAAATCTATCTATAAACAAATTCACTCATGATTTTATGCAAGCTATTTCGATATAACGCTGCGATATCAAATAATTGTTTATGATAGCGTAATTTACATATTATATATATATGCAATAACAATTATGATTCTGCTGCAGCCATGAAATCTTTTTCTTTTATTTACTGATTATTATAATTTCAAAAAGTTTGATGTTTGACTTTATATTCAAATATGATGGCAATATTTTAGGAATTTTCAAATACATCCTATTCTTAAATTTCGAAAAAGTATGACAATAATAATATATTTCTGGGACAAAAATCATACGTATCAGGAATATTTCATATATCAGAAGAAGTAGAAGGAATGACATCAGGAGTGACATTTTGCTATTAAAATCTTTTATATTTCTTTGGGTGAAATTAAATTAATAAATCTTGTTCAAATGGCGTTTCGCGCTTTTCCTACTTTTACGTAAAAGCGAACGCGTACGGAGTGTAGGTCTCGCGAGAAATTACGTCCCGCAGCCGACTAATCTGCGCCCTTAATCTTGCTTTCTGTTACAGTAAACCTCTGGGACCCAACACAAATATCTAATATTAATAATAAACGATACGATCGATTATTTTAATGAACAGCGAATGGAACATGCGCCATGCCGCACGAGTCGCCCGGGAACTGCCGCACGCCCTACCGCGCGATCCACGATGAAGATACAACAGCAACAGCAACAACAACAACAACACATAGTCGAGAACAGCAACTACCCCATTACTTGCTCGAGTCATCATTCTCTCCTCTTCGATTTTCTTTGATGCGATGTAGAGAACGGGAAAGGAAGACACGCGCGAGCTCATGCCGAATACACGCACGCATCATACGTAAACAACGACGTGTCCCTCCCTCCGTCCTTCCCCCCTTTATCACCCATTCCCTCGCGCCCTCTGTCACCGCTCTCGCACGCGTATAAATCCGACGTCCTTTCCTCACCTCCCCCTCCCCAACTCCCCGCCTCCGCCACCGCCCCCGTTCCCCTCCTCTGCATCATACATACGTACTTAAGCATCTACGTGTGAATCTCTTAGTTATGCGTGTTTCGCGTCATGTCGCGTCGTGCAATTTAACACAGCGCGAGAGCGTCGGAGATCTCCCGGAAAGCTTCGGCGTCTTATGCATACCCCCCGATACGGATATACCAATGTCTCATATTACCACGTCTGCTCTCTATCTACTCCCAAACCCCCGCCCTCCCCCCCCCCATGAACGATCAACGTGTAGACATAACGCAAGTCTCCCGAGCGAGACGCGAGGAACGCCCCGACGCATCGCGCGAGGAGAGACGACCGAGCGATCGATGACGGGGACGCCGGCGATCGACCCGGAGGTCGGTCGGTCCGGATAAATCCGCCGCCGTCGTGGCGAGATGGCGACCATCGCCAGCACGGGACGACGACACCGTGGAGCCGATGTTGTAGGGCTCGCGAGCACGCGTACGATTCTCCGATCACAAGAGGGTAGGAAGGTGCGCGAGAGCGCGAAAAAAAAGCGCGCGGCGGATTGTGACGCGCGTGACGATTCCTCGCGCGGTGAATTTCCATCGGCTGCGCTTCCAGCAGCACGGGGGTCATGAGACTCGTGAACGGGAGGCTGGAACTTTGTGTGCGCCTCCACCACTCATCGAGAAGATCGCGATGGATCGTGACGCGCGTCGCGAGATTCGTCACGAGAAGAAATCGGCTCCGAATGCGAACGTCGCGTCGTCCTCCACTTCTTTCCGATTGCGCGCATTCACTTTTTTTCCTCCGGGAAGGAAGGAAGGAAGGAAGGATGGAAGGAAGGAAGGAAGAAGCACACCGGTCGCTTCCGCGAGGAATCGCGGTCTTTGAGCTTGGATTTGTCATCATCTCTGTCGCTGTTTAAGAGACACGCGTCTCGCGAAGGTAGTTTAGTCTCCGCGGAAGCGATCGATCTCGTCTCGTAAATCAAGACAACTCGGACACAGTCGCTTCGTTCATGCACTAGCTTTACGTGTGCACGAGGAAATGCACATCGACGATATCGGATATCACGGATATCAGAGAGAGGAAGAGAAAGAGAGGATGTGTGCATGAAAAAGAACGAGAACGCAAAACAAACTTTTGTGACCGTTTTACATGATGTTTCGCTAAAACGATACAAACACACATATAAATTAAATATAAGAAAGAGAGAAAGAGGGAGAGAGAAATAATGATAATAAATAAAAATAAACTATTGTGTGTTAGGCTTACTATCTTTTTCGTAGTAACACGAAAGGGTGAACGCGTATGCGCACGAGCAGAGAGAGAGA